AAAGAGCAGTGATCACAGCTCCAACACACTGAAAGTCTGTCACGTCCTGCGGCAGCAGAGCAAGATGAAAGAAAAGAAGCACAATCTACATACTTCCCATTCCCAGGGGAAAAGATTGTTATTTGATGATTAGTCTCCACCCTAACGCGTCTGTGCTTATATCGAGATGATTTCGTAAAGTGAAACGAGAAAACATTATTGAAATGAATTGTTACTAACATGGTTGGTGGTATCATGTAAGACGTAGCAGCACATATAAATGTCGTAGACACTGCAACAAGAGATTACAGGCACGTGGAAATGATACACAAATAGATTGTTACCCCACCTATTCACACTACAGCGGTAATTGTAAATTATGTACCTAATAGAAAGTAAAGCGTGGTAACTGATGTGGATTTTAATGTGGGGCATCGCACATATTAGTTATGACGTGTATTATCCAATATGTATGTGTTCGCAGGTGGGAAAAATCATGGAGGAGTATACCTTCTATTATTAATTTATTGTCTCTTATATCAGATCAATACTGGTTTGGATGTTGGTTTGTTTTGCAAAATATAGAGTTTCATGGCATATGCTACAATCCCGACATTTGCACGATGAACATCTGACTGTCACTATCTTTCCTCTCTTACTTCTCTCTCTGCTCTCTGCACATGCTCATCTCTACTTCGCTGCCTCTCTCTCATGCCTGGCTGCTCTCTCTCTCTCTCTCTCTCCTCTCTCTCCTCTCATCTCTCGTCTCTCTCTACTTCTGCTCTCTCTCGTCTGCTCTCCTACTCGTCTCTCTCTCTCTGCTCTCTCTCCCGTCTCTCTCTCTGCTCGTCCTCTCTCTCTCTCTCTCCTATCTCTCTCTCACATATCTCCTCTCTCCTCTCTCTCTCTCTCCTCTCCCATTATATATGCATATGTATGAGTATCAATATATATATATAAAATTCCACTGTTAGCACACGTTGCAACGTGGCTCCGATGGAAACGCCTTCGAACGCGCATGAATCGGATAAGAACCATGGATATGTCCTTTTGGTAAAATGAGCAAAATAATCATTACTTTTTTAGGCTTGGCCATCTCAGGTGGATGCTAGCCATCGTAATCAAGTGGAAGGAGCGCCGACCTAAAGGCAGAATGTTTACTGGCACAGACAGCTGATTCGTGTTAGTCTTCGGTAGATCTAAAAAAATGTACTCGGTGAGTGAAAATCAACCGTTAGTGTTCCAGGTTCATCGTAACTGATCTCAACCCCCACCATGATGCATGCTATCATAAAACGCTCACGCGACACAGTCACGCGAAGACAGCGCGGCGCCGCACCCAGTAAACAATTTACACCCCGACCTCGGTAGATCACTAAGCTCGTTAGCCAAAGGTCCTTCAGGGGCCAATGCACACAATGGCCTAGGGTAATCGGTGGGGGGGTGTAGAATGCACTATCAGCGTTAGTATTCCGGGCCGTCAACATCTCTGGTTACTAGGTTAAATTGTGCTAGATACGTAATAAATGTAAGGCCCAAACCCTAAAGACGGATAAGGGTTTACAAATGTTCCTATCTTTTCTTGGGCGCTAGGAAGCGCCAAAGTGAAAGTCACTCGGGCGGTTTTGCTGGTGCGTTTTCAAAGATACTAGAACTTCCAAGCTGGGTTTATTCGCTTCACAACAGCGAAGGCCATTTCTCCGTATCTGGGAACTTACACGTAGTGTATCAGGCACTACTCTGTATTAAAACTAATACACAACTTGCTCTGAATCAGAAGAATAACGTCTAAAGAACAACGTCTCAGAGCTCGAGCGCACGTGCGCGGCGCAGGCCTACACACGCAGCACTGGATATCAATCCATTAGCGATGAGTAATCAGGCCATCTCTCTGTATTCGCAAACTGCGAGCTGGTGACGCTACACCTCTAGCATCGGTTTGAAGAGTGACTTCACGGCGACACCCAACACGTTGGAGGCCCTACGGAGCACTCGGGACGCTCTTAAGCAGTGCCGACACATGCGCTATCGCGGCATTGGGAAATGCGTACGTCAGGCCAGGTCACAAGGAAATGGCGCTCAGTATATTCGCGCGCCGTCACTTCGAATTTTTTGTAAGCACGCGCATTAATATTAGTTTCTACATAGCAGAGTATTGCGAGTACATTGTAAGTTCGCCGACATAGCGGAGAAAGGTTCGTGTTCCTTAGACTAAAACCGCAGTTTTCTAGGAAGTTCTAGTATCTGAACAACGCACCAACGCGACAAACACGCGGCCGAGTGCATCACTCGGCATTCCTCGCGCAGAAAAGGATAGGGACACCTTTGATAACGCCTATCCTCTTGGGTTTGGGTTACATTATTGTATCTAGGTTAATGCTACTGTTGATAATGTGTACACAGGGTTCTTAAACTCGACCAGAAACAATTATCTGTGCCGAAAATCGCTTAGGTTACTCCAACCTTAGCCTTGTCTTGTGATGCGGTACCCGGTATTCATTATTCAATAATAATAAATCATATTTTAAACAGAGTGGCTATATCTGACGGCTGCCGGGCACGGTCTTCGATTTCCTAAATGCCCGGCAGTTTTTAATTTTCAGCGTTATCTCAAGTAAACAAGGGTTAGGAACTGCCAGGCATTTAGAAAATTGAAGACCGTGCCCGGCTGCCGGACATATAGGCTATAGCTACAGCGTTCCCTATTTTAAACTCGGCAAAAATCATGCAGCAAATGCTAGAGAGTACAGTACCATACACCTTATACTGTAGATACAATAATGTAAGCCAACAAGATTAGGGTTACAATGCGAACACCATTTTTGCGTGGAGCTGCCCTGAGTGATTCACACACAGGGGGAGGGGGGGTTAGCTCTAGTACTATAGCGCGGCAACTGTACGCGGGCTATAGTACTAGAGCTAGGGGGGGTTATGATGTGTTCTTGGCGACTACATAATTCCAATTTGGTTTTATCCTGAACACGATTCTTTTCTCTTAAAGGAATAATAGGTCCATTGAGTATGCAATGTTGACGAATGCTAGAGTAACTGGCACCTTGTGTAGTTAATAAGGCACGAAGGGTCGTTGTCATATAATGGCGTATAATATGTACCCGAGGTAACTATCTGATATGGTTAGGGTTAGGGAGTAGGCGTAGGCGACATACTCGCCGACACCTCGGGTACTACATATACTACAACGACCCCTTCAGCGTTAATAAGTACATTACCTTATAGCCAAACGCGTATTAGTTTGTCCAATATCACTGCTGGTTACATTGCAAACAAGACTTGAAATCGGTTGTTGATATGTATCAACGTATCTTTTACGTGCCGTAAATGTCATCCAGGAGTCGAGCGATGACGTGAACATTTGTGCGGCCTGTATGTTTTGGACGCCAGATGAAACGGAGGTGTCAGCAGTGTAACCACGGCCACGGACTAAACATGGAAATAGAGTAAAACACACGTACTAATCACGGACGCACGTGGACAGCCCTGATAAAAAGTTCCTTATCACGAGCGTCCATGTTTACGAAATCACTGATGATAGCATTGCGTACGGCCGAGCATGCGTGCGAAAATGTCCGGTGCACTATAAATCTGTATCACACCCGCTTTGCCGGCAGCGATTTGAAACTGTAAACAACTGATTTTTGGACTGCGGATTTCAATTAGACAATTCTTAGTAACCAGCAATGATATTGGACAAACTAATACGCGTTTGGCTATAAGGTAATGTACTTATTAACTACACAAGGTGCCAGTTACTCTAGCATTCGTCAACTTTGCATAATCAATGGACTATTGTAAAGATTCCTCCTTCTATCCTGATGTTGTTACATTCTCACGGAAGCACGTGTCCATGGAATCAGATGTTAATCTATTCCTTTAATCAACCCTCGCATTAAGCCCTAGGAGGGGCAAGGCAGTTTGTAAAGGGCACCTAGGCAATTTTCCAATTTTTTAAGGGCACCTAGGCAATTTTCAAAATTTGAGAAAGGCACCAAGGCAATTCTCAAAATCTGCGAAAAAGTACACTTTACATACTCAAAATATCCGTTTCAGCTGATTATGGTCCATAGATGGCGCCCTTGAGGCGAAAAGCACACAGCCAATCTGCTTCCTCTTCTTGTTATATTTAGCTATTGGTGCCGTCGGTTACGGCGAGGGTTGCCCTTAATCCCAAGCATTACACATCACCACAATATCGGCTCTGAAGCGTCTATACACTGTTTCAAAAGATCGATGTGAAGTGCGGCTATTTATCGAACTGCCATTTCTGTTGACCAGTGATGCAAGCTTTCCCAATATGGCTTCCCAATAACGCTCAGCTAACTTCGATTTCATGAGCAAATGGTCGATGAAGAACGCGTCACATCCATATCTCCACGACAAGCTTTTCTCAGCCATCCCATGATGCATTTGCTCATGAAACTGAAACTAGCCGAGCATCAATAGCAACAAGCAGTGTATAGACGCTTCAGAGCCGATATTGTGGTGATGTGTAATGCTGGGGATTAAGAGAAAAGATTCGTGTTCAGGATAAAACCACATTGGAATTACATAGTCCACTAGAACACATCATAACCCCCCCCCCCCCCTGTGTGACTCACTCAGTGCAGCTCCACGCAAAAACAGTGTTCGCGTTGTAACCCTACTCTTGTTGGGTTGCATTATTGTATCTGCATATAGGCTACTGTTACTGTATACATTGTATTGCGCTTCTGCTGCCACTTGGCTGTATTTGTAACACCAGAAAAAGGCTTTACCTTGCAGTGTACAATGAAGCTATGGTGCTCAGCTTACCTGTCAGTTTGATTCTCTACTTCCACAATTCTTAAATTGTAATTAGTATCCTCCTGGAAGATGAATCTCCTTATACTTGAAGGCATTATCAACAAATGTATCGATACTTAATCAATGTTAGACTTGCCCATTCTTCATTACAGTTCCTTGGATTATGAAGAATATGGTTTATGAGGTTAACATAGTGTATACTTATTATCGATTACATTTAGGATCCATCGATTGAACTAACGGACGACTCTCTAACATTTCTGGCTGTTGGCTACGGTGCTCAAGGCGAAAGCAAATATCAGTTCACCATGGATTTCTATCTGCCTGTAAAACCAAAGGTGTGTATTTTTGTACGGACATCCGTAATGGAACATTGTTATTATTATTATTATTTTATTACATAAATTAATAATCATAACATTACGTGATACAATATGATATATGGTTTCAATGTACCGTCCTTTCACGGTTGATTTTACAGGAGTGCAGCTATAGGGTTCAAGCCAGGCAGGTAGAGTTCAGCATCAAGAAGCAGGGACCCGAGTTCTGGCCACGTCTCATCGTGGCCCAGAAGAAGCCGCACTGGCTCAAGATCGACTTTGACAAGTGGCAGGACGAGGATGAGGACGAGCCAAGGCAGCATAAGGAGGACTTTGGGGATGTGGTGAGAAGCGTGGCATGTATGATCTGTAGCTGCACTGGTGTAGCTAGTAGTAGGGTTGAGAATGTGCAAGTTTCAAATGGCTGCTGCAGTTATGTCTCGGCAATCTATCCCTGCTCTATCAGTGTTGGTAATAAGTAGTTATTGAATGTGTTTCTCCACCCTAGGCATTATAAACAAATTGTTTAGTTCGGTTTTGTTTTGGTCTGTTAAAAAACTGCGAATTTACCATTGGTCTGTTAAATCCTTTACACAGGGTCCATTTGACGAAGCAAGAGGAAGAAAAATGGTAGAAAGACAGGAAAAACAAGGTAGAGTGATAAATTCCTTAGATATAAAGCAGTATTTATTTGCGACGTATTGGGGGAAGATTTGTCAAGATCTCTCTCCCCATCATGCCCTGTGGTTCGCTTAGTTGTACTGTATGTATACTGTGATTATATTTACATACAATATTCCACTAAGATAAAAGAACCCTTTTTGCTAAACCTGCTAGCTAGCTTTGCATATTATATTTTGTCAGTTATTTGTATTTGATAGATGATAATGGACTACTGTCACTGACAGTCTTCATGAATGTATTTCAGAGTCGATGAATTTCAAACTGCGATACATCTTCGTCTACAATCTATTTCAATTTGTTGGCTTCACAACGATATTCTGCACTCTCTTCATACGATACTTGTACTATGGCGAACGTGAGTAGAAACCACTACCCTGCGCTGCTTCAGATACAAACACTGATAAGGTTAAACCTGTGTTAGCGAACACCGAACGAGAACCTGTCTATAAAGGCCATGTTTATACAGCGAGACCAGCACTATGCAACCAACACTTGTCTGTAAAGGCCACTCTTCGCATTTCCCTCCAGTGGCAGTTACAGAGTGAAACTAGCTCTATACAACTAACATGTGTCTACAATGTTCAGCCACTTGGCATTGCCTTTGGTCAAGCTGTATATATAGATTTGACTGCGGTGTGGTATACTAAGCCATAACTCGGTCTAGAAATTAAATGCTTAATGAAAGCATTCAGCAATTAATGCTGTTAATTAGAATGTAAAGAATTAAGATAGATTTTATTAAATGTTAAGATCATCATTACGTATTTGATATAAGGTGTTATTAGATTGAATATATTGGAATTATACAGCATAATACTGTACAATATAACATAATGAGAGCAAGTAGTATTTTAGCAGACTGATTACTGGTGTAGGTGTAGCTTGAGCTAATGACCGTGGCGTTCCCCATCATCATAGGTGCTGTCACAACGGCGTTCGAGACCATTGGTTCGCAGCTGGTCCTGACCCAGCTGCTTACGTACTTAGAAGTAATACATCCACTCCTGAAAATCACCAAGGGCGGAGCGTTGGCGCCATTTCTGCAGGTACGATGGGCTGGTTTTTTCCTCCTGTTGCCAGGGGAAACTTGGAATCTTGGTACAGCCTTGGTTTCCTTACTGTAGTAGAATGAACTATGCGTGTGCTTTTAATCCTACATCTTGTCATACAATCTTGGTGCAGTCTTAGTAGTGACTTAATTGTAGCTGTAGCAGAGTAGTTGTGTTTGAAATCCTGTATCCCTTCATATATACTCGGTGCAGTCTTCCGTCCAACGTCTAACACGACCGTACATCTATTCCGTCGAGCATAATTCATAGACGAATGTCGAGAAGTGCAAACATTTAGGTACACGCTAGCAGTATAATCGCCTCTTCACATCTAAATTGGAATTGTTTGAAACAGTCACTTTGAAATCGCACGGCTGTATCGATATTTTCCGCAAGAAGAGCTGCGAAACCTCTGTGTCCTGTGCTAAGACCTGACCCGACTCGCTGGTCTTGTGTTTGCAGGTGTGCGGCAGGAACTTAGTGTTGATCTTGATCATAGCAACGGAGCCCCGCCTGCAGGGCCAGCCCGTCGTCTTCTGGCTGTTCCTCGTTTGGAGCCTGAGCGAAATTTTCAGGTGGGTGTGTCAACGCACGGTGGCACGAAGTTGGCCATCCCCTTGCTCACTATGGCATAGGGTTAAAGTTAGGGTTGGCTTTAGGATTACGGTTATGGTTAGAGTTGGGGTTAGGTTATGGTTAGTGTTAGGATTAAGGGTAAGGTTAGTGTTAGGTTTAGGGTTGTAATTAGGATTAGAGTTACCATTACAGTTAGGTTTAGGGTTGGGATTAGGGTTAGAGTTACAGTTGGAGTTGGAGTTATGGTTATGTTGAGGGTAATGTTACAGCTACAGTTAATGTTAGTGTTATGGTAAAGAGTAAGATTAAAACCCAGAACCCTTTCCCCATCTTAACTCCAACTATAAGGCTAGCTGTATTGCTTGCGTGAGGGGCTGATGCCACGTTTTTCTACATGTGTTTCTCAGGTACCCGTACTACATGCTAAGCAGTCTTGAGCTGGAGTGGTACGCCGTCACGTGGTGTCGATACACGACGTGGACCGTGCTGTATCCCGCAGGATTCGCCTGCGAAGGTACGCGACCTAGCCACCGCCACGCGCATGTCTGGGGGAACTTTCCCCGCGTGCCCAGCATGATTGACAGGTGGCTCTGGCCAATCGTAGTTGCGATAGGATGTTCTAAAAATGCTGCGTAGCAACGAAGTGGTGCAAATTCGTCAATTTGGCGTGAATGTGTGGAAAGTACGTGCAAACTGGCGAAGCTTAACCGACGTAGCAACACCATTCAGGGGGTGTGGTTATTGTGCTCGGACTGATTGGTCAAGAGCCCCCGCCCCCAACACACACTTGAATATATTGATTCTAGGTCAGTCGAGCACACCCGTTTTGCACCCGAAATGTCAAAATCTCAGATTTAAGTCTCGTTTTTAGAACGTCCTATCATAATGCTGATTGGTTAGAACTGTCTGTCAATCACAACAGGCGGATAAGTAGATTTCTTTGGTGTAATGTTGCCAGCTTCCTTGGGGGAGCTTTTTATGCTGATCAGCAGGCACCATTGAACAGTCTGGTTTGTAAACAGAATAGGTTGGCATGCGAAATGCGTAAACCAAAGTAGGACTCGGATAAAGGTCAAGGCACGCTGCAGTGACAACAATCATTCGTAGCATTTGACGACGTTTTACAAGATTACAAACCATTGAGGGTTACTCCCATCCATATTTTGCTATCCATCATATCCAGCAACAATTGTAACGACGGAAATATTTAGAATCACTTCTAACATCCAGTGACATACTCACGCGACACTTCATTAATAGCCAATCACAGCCATAGATAATATTTTATCGGCACGTGACAAAAACATTTCGTAACAGAATTCCTCAGCTTTCTGAGGATGGCACCTGTGTCTGTGATCGCAGCGAGGGTCTAATAACAGGACGTGCGCATATTCACTTCTGCTTGCAGCCATGGTGATCTTGGCAGCCATTCCGATGTTTGAAGAGACGCAGAAGTGGACCCTCGCTCTGCCGAACGTGTGGAATCTGTCATTCACCTTCCCGGCCTTCCTTCGCATGTACCTACTCCTCCTGTTCATGCCAGGTGAGTCGAGTACAGCCACACCCTTGGTAGCAAGTCACCTCTATAGAAGAAATAACCTGTCTATAAGGGACAGGTTTGTTCTTTGACAACTAACAATATGGCAATTTGCTCGAGTGTCAGTTATACCATGAGACTATATATAATATA